CCGAGTGCTGGGCGGCAGCTCCGCCCCCTGAGATGCAGCTGGACGGGACCTGCCTCTGAGCCTCTCACCAGCGACCGGGGCCTCTGCAGAGGGCAGGGGAGAGGCCGAGACCCTGACGGGCTCTGAGGGGGCCCCTCACGGGCCGAGCAGGTCGGGGCCCCCAGACTTCACGGGGGGCTCTCTATGCAGGGCTGACCCAACCTGTCGCGGCCCCTCGTCCTCCGTGGCGTGAGCCGGGGGTCCTGACCGTGATCTCTGCAGCACACACAGGAAGCCAGGACGTCCCCAACCTCAAATCCAGGCCGACTTTTCTGGAGCACTGTCGTCTCGGGGGAGACAGAGAGCCTGGAAGCAGCTGCCCAGAGAGTGCTGTGGAACTCGGTCCAGCCTCTCGGGTGACACGACACATGGTGACCTTGTCAACTCGTGTTGCTGCTCGGAGCTCAGACTCTAAGGCCAGGTCCTTAGGGGCCTTCGTCTCCGCACAGATGGTCCCTGGTTGGTGCCAGGACGCGGCGGGCACTCAGCTGTTAGAGAGGTCAGAGCCCGCGGGAGACCATCTCCCGTGGATGCGGCACCAGTCAACCCTGAGCGGTAGCGTGTGCGTGCACGCACGCCGTGTGTGCACACGTGTGCTCCCACATGTACGTGTGCGTGTGCGTGTGCCTGGTGGGGGGGGGTCACACGCTCAGCAGGGCTAAGCGAGCACTACAGCGGGTCCAGCGTGGGCCACAGACATTGCTGACCTCAGGCCCCAGGGACCCCTTGGGAGGAAAGCCGACAACGGGGGCCAGCCCAGCTGCCCACCTGGGGTCTGGGACGATTGGGGCCTGGGTCTGCAGCCTGGGGTGCGGGACCAACCGAACCGTCCTTTCACTACAAAGCAACTGGCCTTTTTCTGTGCGTCTTTAAAACTCAGACCGAGCGACTTTATTCATGTTGTTGTCACTTTTTATTACAGAAAATTCCAAACACATACAAAGTAGGCAGGACTCAAGCTTTTCCAGTGAAAACCGCACTGACCTTGCTCCCCTCCAAGCCTCAGCCCGCCCGCTGTGCCTCGTACTGTTCCAATGCAAAGCCCCGAAAGCATGCCATTCCGTCATCAAACTTTCAGTACATTCTCTTAAAAGGGGGCTCCTAAAGGAGCTACACGTCACCTCGAATCAGTGAACAATAGTCATGAATATCACACACCTGTTCACGTTTAAACTCCCCGTTGTCACGCTGCGTCTGTTACTTTCAGTTTGTGTGAATTAGGATCCAAACAAGCCCACGCGCTGGGATTGGCTGGCATGCTTCAGTCTTTAATCAATAGGTTCCCCTGCATCTCTTTTGCTTTTCTTGCTAATTATCTTTTGAAGAAGGCAGGTTGTCTCACGGCGTCTCCAGCAGCCTCTGCCTTTCGAATGCTGGATGTTGACGATGAAAAGACACAAAGGAGACGAGGAGCCGCAAACACATGTTGCTAAGTGAAAGAAGCCCATCTGAAACGGCTGAGCACTGTGTGTCCAACTACAGGACATTCTGGAAAAGACAAAAGTGGGGACCCGGGGAGCAGATCAGTGGTGCCAGGAGCTGGGGGAGGGAGGGAGATACAGGGGGAGCACAGAGGATGTTTACGGCAGTGAAAACACTCCGTATGACCCCATGATGGTGGATACGTGTCATTACACCTCTGTCCAAACCCATAGAATGTACAACACCCAGAGTGAATTTTAACATAAACTGTGGACTTTGGGTGATGACGTATGGACATAGGTCCATCAGTTGTTAACAAATGTCCCGTCTGGTGGGGGTGTTGATAGTGGGGAAGACCGTGCACGGGCCGGGAGGGGGTGTACAGGAGAGATCCACACCTCCCCCTCAACTGTGCTCTAGCCTTAAGCTGCTCGAAAAACTAAATTCTACTAAAACAATATGCATAAGAAACTAAAACAATACGTTGAAATGCTAACGTGGTTAGATTTGGTGGTAGGATTATAGCAATTTTTCTTCCTCATCTTCGATGGGGTCTATGTTAAAATTTCACAATTAGATTAATTTTAAAAAGCCAGGCACATGACCACAGGGAAGGACTGTAAACGCTAAATGCGACTGTCGCCTCTGGGTGGTGTGATGAACGGTCTTTGTTTCCTTTGTTGTACTTGAAAATTTTTCCACCTGGGCAGCACTTTCAAAATGGAAAAGCTTTATGTGAAGACCAGGCTGCAGCTCTGAACGTGTGTGCGTGTACACACATGTGCACACGTGTACATGCACACGCTCAGCAGTCCACACTGGATTGAATCTGACTTTGAAAATACAAGGCGTGTACCGTGAAGCTGGCCCTTGTGGCGCACGAGTGGGTGGCTCTGGTCATCCTCCAGGCTCTTCTGCTCGTGTA